GGGGGTCGGCATCCCGCCCCCCCCTCACCTTGGGCGTCGTGATGTGCTCCATCGCCGAAGCCGCCCGGCCTCTTCCCCGTCCGGATCCCGCGATGCCTCGCGAGACCTCGGGGTGGCGGCGCTGCGGGCGCCATCTTGCGTGAGGGCAGCTGCCCTTCCCCGGAGGAGCGCTCGCACGGGCCGGCGCTGAGCCGCCTCCTGCCGGAGGGACCCCCGAACTGCACCCTCACCGAGCCCGCTGTGGAAATGTGTTGGGCTGGAGGGGCGCCCCTAGACTGATTCGTCAGAGTCCCCCCCAGCCCGCTTTCCCCCCAGGAGATACAGAGCACTGCTGCCCCCCAAACAGAAACACCCCTGCGAGGTAGACTCGAGCTTGGGTCTCCCTGGTCCCAGTCCAAGTCCTCCCCAACCCCAGCCCGCTGGCCTCAGCCCAGGCTAAGCCACGATTCATTGCAAGCTGTTACACAAGTCATGAACTTCAGGTTATGTTAGCCAGCCAACTGTGGCTTAGATAAACCATGGTTAAACCAACCATAGCTGAGCACTGTGTGGGAACCAGGTCTTTAAACAGTCCCACTGAATGCACTGAATTTGGGGGGCAATTCAGTCGGTCGTGCGTAACTTAAGTCCTTTATCTTTCACAAAGTGTGCTCAAGCCATTATTATAAACCGGAACAATTCATCCCTGCAGCGTCTCTTGCAATGTTCGCTACGTTGGTCCCCTAAATCAAAAGGCGTTCGGTAGCGCCTTTTGCAGCTAACACATTTTATGAGAAGGCATCGGCTTTTGCACACCAGACCCCTTCTGATTTTTGTTGGGTGACATCCTAAGTGAGATACGGTCTTTTACACACTTGCACGCTCATCGTGCATAATATTCCAGCTTTCCCAGGCTAAGGGAGGCCCCCCTGGTTTCTCACCGTGCAATGGCTTTGCGTGACCCCATTTCTGGTTAGGAAGACCAGCACTGGGTGGGGTTTTCAGTGGTGCCCTGGACCTGCCCACGAAACCCTTATAACGTGGCATGTGCCTGTAGCCATAGATTTATTGAAGGATTCTGCACGCTCATCGTGCGTAATATTCCAACTTTTTTTCCAGCTCACCAATTTTATTAAAAAGCGTAACCCTGCTACCAGACTCATCCTCCTCTGGGGCTACCACTGACTAACGTGGCTCTCTTCCTACAGCGCTCTTTGCCTTCTCTCTGTTTCTCTCTCTCTCTCTCTCTCTCTCTCTCTCTCACACACACACACACACACACACAATGTTATTAAAAGTTTTAAAAACCATAATAACTACTGCAAACCAAATTAGAACAGAAAAAGTGAAAAAGAAAGAAATAGCTGAAAAAGCTAAACGTGCAATAAGAAAATAGAAAAAAGAACAAGATAGAAAGACATAAAGCAGTGGCTTCCGATATTCTTCTCAGCAGTTATAAGCACAATTATATTTTAACCACCCTCTCTAAAGATACATCATAATAGTCTTCTTTCTATAGTCTGTCCTGTCTAATCATCCAAACCATAAATCACACGTTCATTTTTGTTCATTTTTACCCAAAACGTCCATAAGGGGTTTCCGGTCACCAATTCATTTCTGTCTCTGATTCTGATCTGATGTTCACGTGAAGAATGGTCACCCAAAGGGTGCAAAGGAAAAAATATGAACCGCAGCTGGCTGTGCGTTGGGGCGGTTGGCCTCCCTCAACTCCGGAGCAAGGAAGAGGGAGGATGAGCAGACAAGGTTTTGTTTGCCAAAGGAGACATTTCTTCATCGGCCCCTCTAGTTGATTGATTGATTGATTGATTGATTGATTGATTGATTCTTTATTACAGTCATAGACAAGCTCAAAAATAAATGATGAGACAGCAGGTAAAAACCATTGCAAAACCCAGTGATTATAAAACTGGTAGGGTGAAAGTGTGGTGTATTTTTCAAACAATAGAACACAACTCAGCCACGTTAAGAGAAAGACGACCCCACTGATTGGAGAGTGACGGCTGTCAATAACATGGATTGGGTGGCCTGAAGATCTTGACGAGATGGGGTGTTAATTAGCTGCAACTTGGGATCACCATCTGTGTAATGGGAGCAAGATAGCAGGTTAGTGTTTCGCACACAGGTGAGTAGGTCACCAATTCCTTTGCCACAGGAGCCAAGTCTTTGTTCAGATGGGATGTCCTGTAATTTCTCGGGATCAGCTGCTGGGAGGCATTAAATTTTCTGAATTTGGGAACTGGTATTTGGCTTAGATATCTAGTTGACTTGAAAAAAGGTGAATGACTGTCTAAGAGTGTTTCTCCACCTTGACAACTTGAAGATGGGTGGACTACAGCTCCCAGAATTCCCCAGC